GTGTTTCTAAACAAATGTGCTCCTTGGTATTTAGGTGATCCTGCATCATATTCTAACGTCTCTTCATGTTGATGAGTTTTAAGTAATGGAGTTGTAATTTTCAGAAAATTGAGTCATTTATCTGCCTGCCTCAAACTTTGAGCTGTTCAGTAATTACTTGTGGCTCGTTTTTAGGTTTATGTAGCACTGATAAATGACCCACACCTGCCTGCCTTTTGAGCATGCTGAACAATCAATGACTGTAAATATCTGCACCATAATCATAAATTGAAGTAAAGCTGGTTATATTGATAAATGATATTAAGACTTTTCTTACCAAAACAATGTTGGAATGGGAAAGAACGATTCATAAATTAAAAAAGTTCTTCAATTCCATAAACAAGAGAGTTAGTCGACAAGTACAGAAATTTTTGACAGAATTGGTACAGAAATTTGAAATCAACAACACAGATTCAAAGTTTGAAACAAAATACACATACACAGATGCACAGGATGCTGCCACAAAATCTGTAAATATTCCTTGTACTCGGGGAATATTTGTAAACAGGATTGCCTGGATGTTCAAGTATATGTTATATTAAGAATTAGGGATACAAATTTTTAATTGAATCTAAATCATGAACTTTTAGTCTTTTGGATCACAAGCTTTCAGTCTTTTAATTGTAAGAAGACGTTTCAAACTTCCAAATCTTATATGTTATTTTTAAAAGTCAAGACTATATCGGTAGGCGTTCACCTTCCAATAAACTAGTATTGGATTAGACAATAAGAAAAATATGATTTTTCTCTCTTTTCAGATTTGAACACTATAAAATTATGTAATGTGATTGTTGTAAGTAGGAATTTTATGTCCATCTAATCTCTATTTATAGAGATAAAAGATGTTTCAATCCATATAGAATAATAATTTCAATATCAAATTATGAGCCTTAATTAAAATCCAAGTAGGAATTTTAATTAAAATCTAAATCTAATTAGTTTACATTTAATTACATGTGTAGTCCTAAAATTTCAATTGCAATTATAATTAAGTTTATAATATTTATAGTAAGTAAAAAACTATACTGTAATTACATTTCAGTCCAAAATTATTATAATTACGGTAATTAAGTTCAATTACTTTATAGA